AAGGGAAGGATGTTGTGGGTTCCCAACACCTGCCGGGCAGGCTAAAAATTCTCAGGTATTTTGTCAAGACGCTGGACGCATGTTCTTCAGTGGAGCCTACAAGCTTCACTAGGGACTTTGATCTCTTTTCCCAAATCCTCCAGTCCTCCAAAGCAAACTGCTTCATGCTGGGGACTTACAGAGCAACAGCGTGGCTCAGGCAGTCTTCACTGACAGCAAAATTCTCCTCCTGCAAGTTGCAGATTGCCACCTTTAGATGGCAAGTAAGCTGCCCAGATTTCTGCCACGGGGCAGAATGCATTGAATGCACTGCACAAGAGAGGTTAGAAGAGAAGCCTGCAGAGATTGCACGAGGTAGCAGGTGGAAGCCAGGGGAAAGGACAACCTAAGAACACATATGAGAGCTGCGGTCCTTCACATCGCTAAAAGCTGTGTCACCAAGCTTCCAGTTTCCAGATTCACAGGGCAAATTTGCTTCATCCCCATGAAGGGAAAAACAAAAAAAAATCCAGCATACTGAGGTGTTTCCAGCCTCTGCTTTGCATGCTCCTGATGAAGGACAGGGTTTTCAACTTATCAGCCAATTCTCTGGAGCCACAAGACAAGCAGGACCTAAAGTCTGCAAGATGGCTTTCTACAAGTGCCTTCTTCCATGGCAACTGCCTTGTGCTATAGCGCAGGCAGAGCTCTTCCAGCTCTACCGTGGGCTTCCCACCCAAGTCTCAGCGTTACACACACTTCCTCCAACATATTTTCATCACACCCCTGTTTCTGCAACCCTCAGTTTCAAGACGGGAGTTGCACTTGAGCTGTGTTTAACTTTACTGATCACAGTTTATTTTTTAAAGAAGATGCCTCATTTTGGCCACCGTATCATGCCTTACATTAGGAATGAAGGCAGTTACATCCCAGAATGCTATTTCTCCCATTCCACTCACCTGGCACCCTCCTCTGGCTGGTTTTCTTTTTAAGGTTACAATCTTCGATTAGCCTCCTCGATACTCTTTAATATTAGTCTTTAGTGTTTCTATAAGAATTAAGGCTTAAATACAGACTAAATCTCAGCAAGATCCAGTATATGTTTTTGATTTATTGTGCATCAACAAAAGCTGCAGGTGAGCCCACACAGGGTGAAGAACAGGGTACAGACCCTGTACAAGGCATCTGTTTCCCTCCTCAGAAGGGCCTCTGAGTGAAATAAAGAAATTGTTTTAATGAGAAAAAAAGAAACTTTTTGAGATGCATCTTGAAGTATCTTGGAAAGGACAGTGCAAGGTTTCAGATCATTTCCTTGCTCTCCACAGTCTCTTTGCTTCCACCGTCTCGTGTTCAAGGCATTTTGCGAGCTCCTTGGTCTCTATTTTGATCTACTTTTCCCACTTTGGTTCAGCACTGTGTTCCTTCTTACCTTACAGCTTGACTCTCTACCTCGTTCCCCCTCAGCCCCTTTCCTCCACATTCCTCTCTCTAACATAGTTATTTAGCTGCAGAAAAACCTTAGCATGGTGATCTCTGGGCTGTCCGTAGTACATGGTAGGTTAATAATAACCTACGTGTAGTAGGTTATTATGCTCCTGTACATCCCTAGGGTGACAAAAATTGTGTCCATTTTATCTTCCAGTGAATGAAGACTGGTTAGAAGGCCAGTGCAATGGGAAGATTGGCATCTTCCCATCTGCTTTTGTTCAGAACTCTAACACTAAAGACTTGGAGATGTGATTTCAGAAGAGCTTAAAGTTGTGGACGTGGAAAGAAATTAAGAATTCATCTGTTGCAATTAAGAAGTTTCCATATTAATCATTGCATTTGAAAATTGATTTAAAATATTATTGCTACTTGTATTTAAAGCTTTATTTTTATTTTGCCTTTTTAATCAGTACCTGTTTTAGAGAACAATGCAAAAATTGCTAATTGTCTTCCCGTTAGGAATACATTCAGTCCTAAAAACTGTGCTTACTAAGAGACTTGCTAGCAATAGCTCTGTCCCACCTACCCTATCCTTAGCAAAGCTTTCATACAGACAAGCCAGCAGCTGGGAAAACCCACAAGAGGGTGGTGCCACTTGCATTTACAACCCTGCCAACAGATCCAGAAAAGGAACTGGCATTCAGGAAGCTGCAGACCAGGAAAGGCTGAACTTCCAACAGCATTTACTTCCTTAAAACATTACTGCCAAGCCCAAGAACTCAAACAAGAGATGCCGTGCAGCCTCGCCCTGCTCCAATTGGCAATTCACTTCAAAACCACGGTGACTTTAAAACCACCCACCAATAAAAATATACATTTTTTTTTTCCACCTCTGGGAGCCATATCTCAAAGCTTTTTCTCAGCAGTCAGAAGAGACAGTAACTTAGAAAGACAGTGCCTGGAGTCTCAGCAGGTCATACAGCAACAAAGTTGTCCCCTATAAAAAAGTGTACACAACTTCGATGCCCTCTACCTATCCAAGAGGTTTGCTCCCTCTACCCTTGGCACTACTTCCACACTATTTCACCTTCCCCAACAGCTGGTCCTTCGGGCAATTTAAAATTATCTACACTGCCCCATCCTCAAAATATACGAGCTGTAGATAGAGCCAGCCACCTACAGCATTGGGAGTGCTTTGCTTCAAAGAGGCCAAGGGCAGCAGTTTCCCCACTCTGGATCCTATCACGCAAGTTCTGGAGAACCCCACTATTCCAATAACCTACATCTCGTATTTATTTTTAAAGGAACTTACTCTGAAGAGTTGTTTGGATACAATAAACACCTGTCATTTTAAAAAAAAAAGAGCATTTCCATAGTTTTCTTTGACACATTTAGAAGCATACTGTTTAGAAACTGGCTGCAAACAGCCAACATCCTGATTTACAGGTAAGTCAATAGCAGAAGTATCTGTCTCCTCCAGCTCCATTACCTGTGCTCTATAGGTTCAAGTACTCCAGCCTGCAACTGAAGGAGAGCTTTGCAAGCTACTCCTGTACCTGGTTTTGGTTCCATACATAAAACGTATTGCACACAGGCAGCACAAAACCGCAATCCAATTAGCTGCACTGAGCCAAAACCAGAATATCTGTGATTTATTTAGTTTTCTTTCAAATAGAAAAAAAACAACCCCACAACTTCAAACCTTCTTCTGACTTATCCAGAACAGTAACACATTTTTAAAAGCCTGCAGCTGAGTTACACAGGAAATTAATGCAACACACAGACCCGGATGGAGAGAACATGGTTTAATTAAAGGCAAAGCTGATTTCAGCAGCTGCAGTTCTTGCACAGACAGACAAAAAACACAAAAAAAGCTTACGACACAAACCAGTTTCTGTTGGGGGCCCCTTCCCTCACTCCTCCAGGCGTCGGAGGGCAGGAGGGGAGTCCCAGCCAAGAGTCGGACGCATTCCCGAGGCCAGATGCTCATGCACAAGTGGAACGGTGCGGCTGGGACCCTGGAACTGCTGGGAGCGAGATGGCGAACCTGGTTAGCTCGTACAGGGTGCAAGAGTCAGTGACGGTTCAAACACTGGAATGTTGCAGCTGCCTGGGAACACAGCTCAATACACAAACCGGGAGGGGTGGAGAGAAGTACAGAGGGGTTTGGTTCATATTACCACTGGGTGGGAACTTCACTTTTTGGACTTTTCAAAGGAAATACAGCTTTGAAATGCAACAAAGAAAGTTTGATGTTGCTAAGGTGGAGATCACGGGGGAGCTGCTCATATCCCCAGAGGGGTATTGTGTCTCCTCCATCTTCCCTTTTTGTATTCTTTGGGGCTGCCCAGGCTCCAGTGTCACTTCGGCTCCTGCATGTGCTTTGCTCTGCAGCTGACTTCCAGCTCAGAGATCCTGAATCATCACACAAACCCCTACTGCTAACACAGCAAATGGACATTGAGATTGTTTCCATAACTTCCCTGGGAAACCTAACAAAAATGCTGTCCTTTTCTTAAACAAAGTTTCCAGTCTTCCTTCCCCCTAATAAATAGCAAATAAAACGTTTTCCTTTTCCCTTCCGCACCTTTTCATCTATGAACAGCACTATGCTTTCTTCCGTGTGTGGGTTACACACGTGTGTCCACGGCTGCCTTGAGTTTCATTCTGGAACTGAAAGTTTGGGGCTGCAGCTCGGGGCGGGAGGTACGGGGGGACGGGTTTCTGCAGAGCTGATGTGTGCCTGCGGGGGTGCATACACTCCGCACTGTCCAGGCTGACTGTAGGTTTTACCCAGTCCTGCTGGACCCCTGATTATTTTCTGTGAGATGTTGCACGTTGGTAATGAAACTACTAGCATCCAGCGAAGATGGGAGGATGGAGAGAGAAAGAAAAAAAAAACCAAACCAAAAACCATTGAAAGCTTTCTACCTACTTATTAAAATGAGTCAGGCTGTGAATGCACAGACTAGCCTGCCCTTTGTGGGGCTAGCCACTATGCTACAGTAAAATGTACAGGAATCAAACATTAATTTAAAACCCCATAGCAGTTAACTTGCTTGTCCAGCAGAGTGCTGCAATGCCCCGCGTCACCGATTATAGCTCAAACACCTACTGAAAGGAGGGCATTTCATGCTGGAGTCTCTAACCCACCCAGGGGCTAGCCAAAGCCTTTGGGTGAAGGGTGAAGTGGTGTCAAGTGCCAGACTCTCCTTCATGAAACTCCTTTGCCAGCCCAGGAGATAGAGCCCCACCTCGCCACCATCCACCTCTGACCGGAGCAGCAACTGGGGCTTTCATTGCTACACACTGACTACGAAGCACGTCTGTGTACGGAAGAATTCAGTGTGATCTTACTACTGAGATAGTAATAAAGATGTTTAGGAGTAATTTCAACTACATTCTCAGTCAGCAAAGCAATCATTAATGGATTCCTATTTTATCTCCCCAAAGAGAGGAAAAGGATTGAGAAGTTCTCATTGGCTTCTCCCATCTGCCCTTCATTCTCAGCTTTTACTTCCCATGTGGCTGGGGACATGCACTATGGAGAAGGTGAGAGGCGGTGATATCAGGTTACTGAGTGAGACAAACAGCAGTTCCTCTCTCCCTCCAGAGGGCCCAGGGATGGGAGAGTTCCTGATGTTGTTTTCTTGCACTGCAGTCGTTTTGTGCACACTCAGTGGGTTGGTGGAGCACTTACGCCCTCCTGACAGCAAGGAACAGAAGAGAGGGCTGCCACCTGCACAGGACTGTGTGGGCCAGTCCTGCAAACCCAACATGCCATGGTTTATGGAGCCTTCATTTGCAAGGGTTGCCACCTCTGTCTCAATGCGGCGGGTTCATGGAGCCTTGTCCGCGTTGCTGCTTCTGCTTCTGCTGCATTAACAGCTGCTCCAGGGCTGAGGGTCCAGGGTGCATCATGGAACTGGACCAGATGGACTAAAAACAAACAGCCAACACTAGCACCTCCTTGTGTTAGACAGCCCCCCTCTTACAGATGAGAAAGCGGAGAGAGTTTTCTGTATTCTCCCTCTTCTCTTTATCAGTCATACCTGGCTTATCATGAAAGTTACCCAGACTTCAAAGAGAGGCCTTCTAAAGAGAGGCTCCCTGGAAGCAGCTTATCCTCCTCCAGAATCCTCCTTACCATAAAAATTCATCCCACATTAATGATTACTAATTTTAGACTAGTCAAACCAAATGTTGTAATTTTTTTTTCCAGTTCTGCCAGCCTGGTCTCGTTCCACCAAATATTCTAGAACAGCAAGAACTGGAAAACTGTGACATTTTCCAGCACTGGTCACACCTCCCACATTGCTTGCGTAAGTGAATCTGCACAAAAAACCTTCGGTTTCTGACACTGAACTCTGACACTTGCAACAGGCTAACGCTCATCACCGGATCTTCTGGCCCCATAGACAAGCACCCAATTCTTGAGCACAGTGTCAGTCAAACATACCTTCAGGCTCTCCATAAGCACAGCTGAGGAGTCCTCCATAGCGGGAGGGCCTTGGGCTGCCCAGGTGCCACTGGGAGCACTGGACTGGTGCCAGCTGCTCTCTGAAGATGACGATGTTGCTGGGAGATAGTCCAGACCAAACCCTCCCATTGCTAAAATGGGAGAAAGACAAGTTCAAAGGAATGTAGCAAAACCACAGCAAAACAAATGCCATCAGCTGGCTTCGCGAAACCCTGGAACCCAGCACTTGCCTGGCTTATCTGTTTTCCAGCGGTCTGCGACTCTCCTGTCTCTGTTGTCTGGAGTCCCAATGGGTCCAAAGTTGGAGAAGGGAACAGAGTTGTGGTTATGAGTTGGAGGGGAGCTTGGCAAGCTGCTGGGGTTGGAGGAGTGAGGAGACTGGCTGGCTGGTGTCGAATGATCTGGTGATCACAAGGCAAGAGGAAAAAGGTCAACAGAAACAGCAAGGCTCCTGATTTTAAATTTCTTAGAGCTGCTGCAAATTCTGCCATCACCCAGTTTTCTCCAATGCTGAAGGTCAGTTTTTATTCCCTCCATTACACGAGCGTAATGCAAATTCCCAAGTTCTGAGTGAAAATTTTTGTGCGTGTACAAGAAGAGAATGCCTGTGTTTAATGCATACATGTGCTCACCAGAAAAAAAACAAAACCCAGTAAATCTCAAGAGGGCTGGCTATCCAAAGCGAGTCTTCCCCTTGTTTCTTGAAGAACTTTTCTCAAACTAAAAAAACACATATCTGTCTCCAAGCTTGACAAACCAATAAAATAAATAAAAAAAATAATAAAGTAACAGTAGACCTGGAGGAGTTTGCAAGTTTACAACTTCAACTCCCAGGTCTGTGAATGTTTTGCACTTCTTTGAGTCCTAAAGCAATTCAGACCAGAACTCAATACTGAGTGAAAGAGGAGAGCAAGCATGGAAAAGCCTATCTACAGGCAGGAAACAACGATGCCTGAAGACCACACAGCATAGTAGGGTGGCAGGAGACCATGAGGTCTCGAATGGAGAGGTGAAGGGAAAGAAAGCTGAAACCACGTGAGCCATAAATCCTGCTAGAATAAAAACACTTTGCAACTCCTTCCATTTCACCCACGGTTATTCCTGGTTGGTTGCAAAAGTCTCAGTGCAACCAAAAATCTCATTCAGTGCAGATGATATTTCAAATCCACTGATTTCTTAGATTCAACTAATTCCTCCCCTCACACTCTTCTGGATTTTTAGTGAGAATAAAATCATGACATAATAGTTGTGTTTTATGCCTTTAAGATAATTACTAAGGAAAAATCTGTTTGCTTTGTAGGCTCTTTGACAGTAAAAAAAAAACCAAAAACAAAACCAAAACCCCCAAAAACCAAAACACAAACCAAAACCCAAAAACACCGTCAATATTTTTCTCCACACTCTTCAGTCATACAGTTTCTTTCTCTTTCAGATATCTACATTATGAAATCCAGTTCTTCCTGCTTTTTCCAAAGAAGCAACACTGAAAGTATACAGATGATTGAGTTGAAGCCCTGCTCCCAAATGGTTGTCAGGAATCTAAGTCAAAGAGATTTCAGGATTTAACATCTCCTACAACTTCTATCCTGCTCAACTACTTCAATTCTTACACTATATTAATTACAGAATCCCCTCACATTTCTGAGGATATATAAAGAAAAACAAACAGAAACCTTCAGACACCTTGTCAAGCAGATTTTTCTTTTCATTTCCAGTTACATTTAACTTGCAGTAGCTTCAGAATTAACTCAAATCCTCTTAAATCACTAGACACTACCAGGATTACCTGAGCTGGCTGGAAGGGATGGAGACCACGGAGTCCCTTCAAAGAGAGAATATAATGAAGTCTCCTGATGGGCGACTGACGGGGTGACTTCTGTTTTTGTGCTGGTATTCATGTTTTTCCCATATACCTCATTGAACATGCTGTCAAAACGATATCTTTCCTGTAAAAAAATAAATAAATATGAATTTAAGAGTTTGGGTATTGGATTTATTTCAAACACTGAGACTGAACAAAGGAAACAATTATAGATCAAAATGTTTTCCTAACGCTTTTTTTACTCCCCAGCCCCCTTTTCTCTGAGCATTTTATTTAACATGAAGTCCATCCCATTCTGGATCAGAACAGATTTCTCCTGGTTGGACTGCAAAGCCTTCACAAAATCTTTAAATTACCAGTATACCAAAAAAAATTGTATCAAGACTGTGCTCAGTTCTCTGGATGAAGTGGTAATCCATTGCTCAGGAATAAAAACCTACACATAACAAGGCCTTGAGGCGCACCCTTTTCAGTCAACTCCACAATTCTACTAAGAGCAAGTGGCCCACGAACTCAGCAAGATTCAACAGTATGTCTGCAGAACTATAGCTTGGATGAATTTGGGAAGACAATTGATAAAGGCAAAGATAATCTTGCTGATACAGACTGAAACTAGACACCCATACAGATTTCTTTCAGGTTTTCCATTAGTTTGAACTGAAGGATATCCCCATATTTCTTCCATGTTACCTTGTTTAATGGCAAGCTCAAACAGCAATGGACTGCAGGCAAAGGTCCTCACTTACCTGATTTAGAGAAAAGCCACTGAGGGACAGGAAAGATGATGACTGAGACATCAGTTCTGATGGTTTTTCCAGCAGGGACTTCTTCAGAAACAAAAAAGGGAAAAAAAAGCAGTTAGCGTTCAGTGTAGTGAGTAGGAGGTAAGTATGCTATCAGCAACTGCCAAGGTTTTTTTGGTCACATTTAAAACCTTCCTTGTATTTTAGCTCCTGTAGCTTGGACACCAGAAAGAACAAACTAAGAAGTGCAGAAAATTCCCTACTAACTGTAATTAATATCTAAAAATTAACAATCCCAACAGCCAGAAGTCTCAGACAAACCCTACTGCCAGAACAGCTTTGCGAATTTTAAGTATAATCCTCTGTCTGATACATCTAGAGGGGAGATTCCTCCCAAAAAAACCCTATAGTTGTGTAGAATCTCATACAAATGAGACAGGATCTTTCCCAGTGATCAGAGGACTCCTTCAAAACATACGTAGACTCTTATATGTTGCTAATGACAGAATATTTTTCTGGTTTTGAGAGCATCCCTGCTGTATAGACATTCTCAGCCAGTAAGAGCAGCTAAGTGCTGTGATTTTTTAATTGGGTTAAACAGTCCAAGTTTCATTGAATGCTCTCTCATTTTCATTATAAGTGACTGTAGAGAGGAAGAAAAACACCCCAGTGTTTATCACATAGGTTCCAAAATTCCCCTGGGGTTCCATGTTAAGATAGTGTGGATCATTACTTCTCCATCATCTATGCCACCCCCTCTCACACAGTTGTTATTTCCAGCATAATATTTCTCAGCTCTCTCTTTGGTTCTTACAATGATTAAGCAGTGAAAAATAGTGTCTCTGAAACAAGCCTAGTTAGGGAAGAAATCGGATCAATTATCATTGATACAGAAGCCAAAGAAAAATGATAAAGCTCCACTGGTGGACAAACACCACCGAACTTAGAATCAGGATCACCAAGCCATAGAATTAGTGAAGTCATATGTAAAACTGTGTGTGATCCAAAATTAAAGCTGTAGTCCTGTTCCAAATAAAAGCCCTCTTACACTCATACCAGCTCAGCATGTCAGATGTTTTCAAGTTTATTGTTCAAACAACAAAAACCTGAACTAGCGTCCCTCTCTCTTTAACATGGTCTCAATATCTGGAATATCTTTGCTTTTATCCTGTAAACTCAAGACAAACAGCCTCATTTTCTTGGCAAGCAGCTCCTAGCTTGTTAGATTTTCAAAGTGACAACTCATTACTTTGAAAGCACGTTTTAAAAGGCAGACAAAATTCACACTCTGCATATCCACACAGCTTGCACAGAGAATTTCCTTCCATTTGTCAGCAGACAGAAACTGTAAGAGCTTCAAAGAAAGCTGCTGAAGAAGCAGCTATTAGTTTCTTAGCAAAAGTACCTAATGAGACAGAAATGGCTGTCTATTTTGCTAGTGGCTCCTTGGGATGGCACGTAAAATCGAGGAAAAGACTTAATCAGAGATTTCAAGTAGAGTCACAAATAACTTCTTTGTTACTGCTATTTCAAATTAGTAGCAGTATTTAATGAACATGCTTGTAGCCATACTAGAAAGGCATACTGCATTTTCAGAGGCAATTTACAAATTCAGCAGCTCAGAACCTCCAGCTAGTGAACTAGAAAGGCTTTAATACATAAACGTAGAAAAAAACCCGTCTGTCAAAAAATTACTGTATTTCTATAGGAGTTGCTGATTATTTAGCCAGTTGCTTGCAATTTTCTTCCAAAGCCATCTTGTTCTTTTACAATCTCTTCTGCATTTAGTAGGGCAGTTTCCCCTTGCCTTTATGTAATTTTTTATATGCAGATTATAATAAGCCACACTTCTGATGACTTTCTACAACTGAACTTTCCACTGTGCTCCCTCTCACCCTTATAACTAATCCCTTTACAACTGCAGAAGAGCGAGTGCATTAAACAATACATCAACATCTCTCCTGTGGACTGTACTTACAAAAAACCCCACTGTTTCAATTTCTGAACCAACTTGCTGGCCCGGATTTGGCCCAAGAGCTATATACTGAGGGCCTTCAGCCGGTCTGGTTCTTGTGCTAGGTCAAGGGTGAGGCAGGGAATTGGACAGGAGGGATGGGGGAGAGAAAGGAATTTCATATTTCTTATAAAATTTCACAGAAGAAAGAGATGCCAGTTAGAGTGAGAAGCAGCAGTATTACATCAAATACATACAAAGAGGCTTCGTCCAGGAAGAGAGGCGAGAGGCCCCAGCAGAGCTGGGTAAAGATCAGGAGGATTAGAGAAAATCAGCTCTTCCTCCTCCTCCAAGGCAGCTAGACTCTTTAACAGGTCCGGAGGAAGCAGAGGGGAGCTCTTGGGGTCCTAGTGACAGAAATGAGCACAGTGAGACAACAGAAGGCAGAAAGGGGAACAGCAAGAGGCAGCTAGGAGAGGCTAAACCACAGCAGGATGAGAGAAAACAGCAAGAGAAAGGCAGAAGACGGCATGCAGAAGTGCAAGGTGAGAACATGGTGCAGCAGAAGTGTGTGAAGGTACACAGAGAGAAAATGCTGAGCAGAAAATAAAACTAACCATGTGGTCTAGTATGTCCTGGAAGGAGCACTGCATCATCAAAATGATGGGCAACTAGTTTTAATTAGCATGTGGATCCCATTGCAACCCATGCCAAATACTGAACCTGTTTTCACTTTCAAGGACAAGGAACACGAAATCTTACAACTATTCTTCTACAGCTGACCTGTGAGTAATTTAGGTTTCAAGTAGAATCGCACTTGCATCTTCTTCCCTCCACTATTTCTGAGAGTTTAAATCCCATGAGACTTATTTCCACTGCTAATGGCTGCTACAACAACATCCAGCTGCCCAGACCGCTGGACAAAAAAACCCTGCAAAGTGCGGGTCAAACTTGACATCTGGAATTTTGTGAGGGATGCTTAAGACACAAGCATCACAGGCACAGCTTCTGTCTGTACTGCACTGTGCTTGCAACACAGCAAGGTTTCCCTTTTAGGGATAAGAACAAGGCTTTGACCTTGTCTCCATCTATAAACCACAGCCTGATACCAGGGTAGAGGCAGACTCCTGTGTATTGTCTGGCTTTTCTCTCTGAAGGATTAGACAAGTGATCTCAGCTGACCTTCTGGAAATCCTGAGTGCATTTACAAAGTTGTATCTAACCAAAGGCTTAAAGAGGCCTCTGTTTAATTTTCCCTATAAACATCACCAAAAGCACTTGCAGACAACTCCACGACTATTAATAAATAACAAAGATTGCAGGTTTTCTAAATAGCAACGCAAAGCACAACTGCATGAACAGAAGCAAAGTATTCGAGTAGTGCAACCAAGAGCTAAGCGAGTTTTCAGCTCTCTCATTGCATGGTGGGATTTGCAGGGGAAAAAAAAAAAATCCAAAACAAGACTGCTCCTACCATCTTCGATTTCGTCTCAATCTGACTACTTCAGCCTCCACCGTTCAACACACTCAAGATATTATGTGGGTGTTAAGAGTTCATCTAAAGGGTAATAATTCAACTGCAATTATCTAGATGACTTTTATGGTTTTTACCAGTTGCCACATAAGAATTTTCTCCAAAACTATCAGCTGCCATGTTTCTTGACCTGACAGACACAGTGCAGAGATCAATGTCACATCTACACTGAACAAGACTCAAAACTACTTGAAACCAAATCTTCAAGAGCCGGATCCCACACACAGCCAACTAACACGGAGAATTCATCACTGTTCGCTGGAATCCCATTTACTGATACCCTGCTCCCTGCTAAATAAGCTCACATTGACCCGCTTGGGGCTACAGGGCATTTCTGAAAGGGGAAAATTCCTAGAGTTATCAGGAATATCAGAGCCCCACTGGTTTTCACCACTTACAGCATGGATCTTTACCTCAAAGGTCATCCTGGAGACAGCATCCTGCTCTGGGCGGAAGACTCCTTGCCGTTTTCCCCTGCGGTCCATGTTAGACTGCTGTGCCATCACCCTATTGTCAGCCATGCCATAGGAAGAGTCCCAGTAATATTCTGGCACCTTGACTTCTGAGGGGTTTTGGTTATATGGCTCCATTGGGAAAGGCTTCATTTTTTTCTCCAAAGGTTGCTGTTGCATCACAGGAGGCTGTAATGACTGTTCAAATAATTTTAGAGGGTCCTGGGCCTGCAGGTAATAGGACTGCTTTACGGGCATGATCTTCCCCAGTGAGCCCTGGACTTGAGGCGGGTTCCAGAGCTGCTTTGATGAGTCTGTCTGTGGATACTGAGGCAGACACACATGATTTCATCAGTAGGTATGAACAATTAATATTAACTGAATGCCTAACTCTATTCAAATTGTCAATCTGGCTCACTTATTATAGACATTTCCACACGATTTGCTATGTTATTCACCAAAATGCACAGTCTCAATAGGCATCTAATACTCCCTAGTCAAGCTTGATGCCAACAGCCAAGTATAATCCTTACTCTAATCCAGTACCTTATAAACACCTTTACTAAGGTACTCAGCCAGCAGTTTGCTGCCCAGAATAGCAGGAGGGTCTCACCATTGAGTCCAGACATGCCAGAAGGGAGATTTCTCCAGCACAATGTAAGCATAAAACTAAGAGCTGTGAGGGAACTGACACTGCAACCCAGTTAGCCAAAAGGAGGGTGCGGGTGAAGGTTCAGACTCAGTCTTCATTACTCACACAAGAAAACAAGAAAGGCCTAAGGCAGAAATACCTGGTCAGAAATATCACTTTCATATCTTGCCTATAAACAGAAACACACAGAAAACAATGACCACCTTCTCATTCCAGTAGGTACCTTCCTCTCAGTTACAGAATCATCCATTCATACTCGCTGAACTTCAGCTCTTTTTCAAATTTGCCCAGAAGTTCACAGATCAAAATTCCACACCGTCTTTAATGACGGTTTTGAAAAGGTAATCCAGGAACATAAGTCTTGAACGTTGCCATCTATTTTTAAACTAAGCTTAGGGCATCACATCAGTCAAGTTTACCTGCTGGAATCCGGAGTGGTGTGGCGGGCTCTTCCCCAGGCCCTGGACAGCTTTTGTAGGGGACTGTTGCTGCTGCTGCTGGGCCAGAGCTTGGACCTGTAACTGGCCAGCGGACTGTGCTGTTGCCTGAGCTGGTAAAGATGAGAGGGGTTGCTGGGAAGGAGGTGGCGTTTGCTGAGGTCCCTGGGTCATTGGCCCTGGTCCAGAGGGCCGTTGCTGGCTGTAAGGAATGTGGGACTGTTTCCCACCTTGCACCTGGTTTCCTGCAGGCGAGTGAGCTGTGGGCTGGAGGAAGGTTCCTGGGACAGAAACACTACCTGGGAAGGTGTACCCCGTGCTCATGGAGAAAGCCACAGGAGGGGGGACAACATAGGTTGGAGGTGGAAACCCTGGAAGAGATAAAAATGTACCTTTAAATGCAATTTGGCAGAGCAGATAGCTCTGAAAAAAACATTTAGTGGTCAGGGGTTTTTCTTCCCGTTTTTCTTGTTTAGACCATGAGGACAGGGAATACCAAGTACAATTTGCATAGGTGCACGATAATGTCCTTTCTTACCCCTGCAAGGGGATTCAGAGTTTGTTCTTGAGTGTTCTTGCAATATTCCAGTCACTGATAAGTCAGCCAGGGCGAAATCTGGGAGAGCTGCAAGTTTCCCACCTCAATTTCCCTTCCCCCCGCCCCTTACCTTTTTCCTTCACCATTCGGGAGGGTTTGATGCTTTAACCCCAAGTTTCCACCCCTTCAAACACACACATTTTCAGGGACTAAACTGCTGGAGCAATGGACAGAACCAATCGATAAGTCTACTGCCTCCTCTCAGAGGCTCACCAGTCTCAAGATCAATTTAGATGGAGACAGAGAGTAAGCAAACAAATCCTCATATCCACAAGATCAATTTCTTTCCTGTAGTTCACACTGAAAAGCTACATTTGGAAGGCAAGCTTTAATTCTGTGCCTCACAGGCCAGATTTTATGCTGACTTTGGGACAGGGAAGATGTCTCTGTCTTATATTGAGCAACTACACGTAACAGCTGCAGGGAAGATCCAGCTTCCAGCTATTTTGTCAGCAAACATGGACAGCAAGGTACAACAGGAACACTCCACAATAAAATGGGAACATGCAACACGGCAACAACAGCAAATAAGATGACACAAATTACAGCTTGAAACATGAGCACTACTACAAAAGAAACTGAGCTTTAAAGAAGAAAGCAGGGTGATTGATCTTTTGTAATGGAGTCCTATGCAGAGAGAACACTTCCTCCCCAGCTAGCAGAACTCTATGTCATGTTTTGACTAACTACAGAAACAACCTACTGTGAAGTTCCTTGATCTCGCACCCGCTAACCAAGAAGGAAGGCGACAGATCTCATGACAGACCTTGATTCCAAAGCAAAAGGAATCTTACTTATCTCATTTCAGTTCTGCTATGCCCCTTCTTCGTTAGCTTGTAAGATTCTCAACATGAGAACACATGTGCATTAAAACAGCTCCCACCTGTCACAACCACTATTACAGGATTTTCTTTGCAGTCAATAGTAAATCACACTTCAAAAGAATGACGCAAATTACCTGGCCGGCTAGGAAGGGGAGGGAAGGCTCCTGGGTGATGAATGGGGATGAACTGAGAACTGCTGGCCTGACTTGGAGTCTGAGTTACAGGTGTTTTCCTGGCTTCAGATACTGGAGTCTTCCTCATCTCCGTCTGGGATTTCACCTAATGTAGAAGAAAGTAAAAAGAAATTAGATAACTCTTCCTGTAATCACCCACGTCATGTCAAGCCAAAAAATGAACTCCCAGATTGTCTGAGAGATTATTTTATTTTCCCTAAGTAATTGGGAGAGGTTTGGAACACAGGAACCCTGTTCCCTCCTCACTGACCTCAGGCACTCCTTGCCTCGCAAAAGCACTCTAAGGATATCTACCCAGAAGACTGCAACAGGTTCCTTCTCTAACGAGAGGGTGGAAAGCAGACATAATAATATCCTCAAACCATACAAAGAACTTACCATGCTGCTCACCTACAGTGCCTTAAAAACAAGAAGTGTAGATACTATTATGCTTCTCCCAGGGCACTGCCTCAACCTAACTCATGCTACTTACCTGCAGCACCTCAAAGAACAAACACTACCATGCTCTTCCTAAGGAACTCTCTCAGCCTAATCCATACAGTGATGTATATGCACAAACTCCTGCATAATACAAAATTCTTTTGACCAAGTGCACACAAGACAAATATCAGAAGTGCTTAACCTCTTTCAGTTTACTGTGTAACTGCTGTATGTTCTGTTAAAAGAGCTGCACCAGTTAAAGGCAGAGAGAAGAATGTAATGTAATGTTTACCTGATTCTGAGTCTGCTGCGGTCTGGGTCTTCCTGGAGAGGAAGACAGAGGGGAAGACTACTTTCCCTTTCTGTTCAGCTCGGCAGAACTGCCTGGAATGCAAGATGGAGCAGGCAGGAAAAAGACAGCAAGCAAGGAACCCGGGCAATACAGAAAGGGCCCAGGAGCAGACCTGACGCCAAGCCTCAAAGGTGATTGAAAGAAAGGGGTTTTATCAGGGACCAAATAAAAAAAATCCAAACCAAACCAAACCTGTGTGGGGTTTATTTCAACATTTAGTGCTGCTGAGTTGAAAGGAGTTAGAGGGCAAGGTCTTTGCTGCCAAAATGCAGTGGTAAAGGGCTAGATGCATTCAAATGCTTTCTTGACTTCTTTTTCAAATAAATCTGAATTTCCCCATTTAGAAATTGTGGGAGCGTAATTTATTTTTTGTGTTTAATTAAAAAAGTAGATTGTAAGACTGGGAGGTTTGGGTGTATTTTTGGTCTCCCACTAGAAAAAGTCAGGAGGGAACTCCCCCTCCAAGTTCTGGCTGATGCTAAGCACCATGAATGATGCAGCCCCTGCTCATGCCGCATCTATTCACTGCCCACCTTTGCCCTTCATCACATTCTGTATATTCAACTTACATTGTGCTGTCCCTTTTTTCTCCACATGAGCCAAACATTTTTATAACCCATACTGAGATCTATGCATTCTTTTATAGCAATGTTGGAAAATTCAAAGACACTCTTCCTGCCATGGGATTTCAAAACATGAGGTCTAATCCATCGCAAACTCAAAGCTGCTATAACACATTTCCAAAGGTGGCTTCCAAAAGATCCCCACATGATTTACAGTTAACTTTTAAAAGCTAAATACCCAAAATCGATTAATCAAGACAGACAAATTTCAGTTGCTTCTCTGTTTCTACTTGACCTCACCTGAAAAGTGTCAATACTACCATTTACTCCCCCAGTAGTCCTGAGGGTTCCTACACAGCACTTGAGAAGCACCATTTCATCACAATGACCTCTTAAGAGAAAGTTACACCTTGAAAGTCTGCATTAAACCTTCCTCAGCACCTAACATTATTTTCCCTAGAGAGGAGAGATTCAGCCTATGTTACACTTTCATGATCCCATCTGAGAGTGCAAGTTTTCCACTTATCCACAAACCAGGACTAATTACTTTTGTATAACATTCTGAACATTTTTGCTAAGTAGGAACTGCAACATTTGTAGCATTTAGCCTTTTGAAGGCAATGAACTATTAAGGAGATAAAGGTTGAAATTTCCAGGAAAAACAAAGCAGAGCACTAACAGACCACCAATTGGTACAAAACTTACACTGGTTTCTCCGTGGGGGGAAGCAAATGCTCCTCATATTCTAGAGGTCTGGATAAATAAGTCCACCAAACTATATATAACAAAAGGCATTTAATTGGAGTAGTTGCCATAACAAATACAGCTGATGGAACTAAAGAGTCAAAATTAATTTCTAGTCAACAAGAGATGAAGAGGGACCAACAACATTAGAACGGATTCCGCTACAGCTGGGATTGAAATAAGTTTTTCCTGGGTTTGTTATCTCCTAAGACTAAGACAAGCAAAATTCTGATAAATCAGCTGGGTTAAAATTAAAATACCTTCCCTATCCAAAAATCTACACATACTTCTCAGAAGTGGTTTTATCAGCCTCAAGTCCTTGTTTTGCAAGACGGGCACAAACACCTAAACTGGGAGTTGTGCTCAGGCCTGCAACGACATTCCAGATGTGTTCAACAAATAAAAAAGAAACCTGCTACTCTAACCAACCTACTATGTTGGTTTTCAGATACCAGAATCTTGTTCAGTGACTTACAAACAATTGCCACATAATTTCTGTAAACTATTCCCCTCTATCAATCTTGCTGGAACCCCCTGCAAAACCAACTGAGTAACACTGCCAGTTCACCTTCCATTTCATAACAATGCTGTTTAATAGCAAATAATCAGGAGGAGAACAAGAAGAATGATCCAAGGGTCCTAAAAACAAGCTGAAACGACTGAAAGAGCTGGTTTGTCTAGCCTAGGGAGAACCAGACCTCAATTACCCAGGCCTTCAGAGCAGTTGCAAAGAAGAAGACAAGTTATTCTGCAGACCTGTCCTGGGAAGCAGTAATAGGATCACACAGAGGGAAGTGAGATGAAATGCATTAGGAAATAATTTCCACTTGCAAGAATGGTGAAGAACTGACACGGTTTCTCTAGGGAGATAACAGAGTCTCCATCACTATCATTAAATGCCTCCAGACGCCATCAGGGAATGACTGAGATGCAGCCAAACTATCCAGGTAAAGATCAGATCAACCCCGAAACTCTACACCCTTATTTACTGCAACTCAATGGAAGTCTGACCAGTAAATTCACTGTCTACTTACGAGGTCAGCATGTAACATAATGCTCACAGAAAGAGGGCAAAAGAGCATACCTCAAATACATGACTGAGAAAAGAGCAGCTGATATGAAAATCAACAGTTTTGAGCAAGTGCCTGAGCACAGAATTGTGGTTTAAGTGCAGTGTGGCTTTCCATATTTCCAGAGGACCACCTGACTGCACACACAGTACAGATGATCTTACTCCGCATAAACAACTGGGTGCTTTTGTGATGTGTTTAATTTACTGAATGGGCACAAGTCAACTGAACCAAAATGCAGAGTACCCAGTTCCTTCACAACAGACCAAGAGCACGACTAAGACCTGGCTACGTGAACTGCCTTGGTAGCCTGAATGATTTGTGGAACAACAGGTAGAAGTCTGTTTTTTAAGGTAGTTAACCTTTTGTTGCCTCCTGCCTTATCCTCCCCAACAAAATCAGACAGCATCAAGGAAAAGGGCAGAGACCCAAACACCACAAATACCTGGTCTTTGAAATAGATGTTTTTCTATCTTTTTTTGTGCATTAGCTGTACCTGCAGGGCCCACAGTGAGACCTCGACTCTACTGTAGTCTCTACAAGCAGCAACAGACCTGACGCAAGCATTGTACTGCCTGAGATGCAGTATCCCTTTGATCTAAAGGCTTACCTGAACTGCCACGTTCTGCTTTCCTGCTTCCTGCATCTTATCCAAGCCGCACTTCTTCGTCTCATTCTTTCTTTTATTGTTATCCTTCTTTCCATCATTCTTATTGGCTACTATTCCTTTGCTATAGTCCCGTGTTTCCCTACCTACATCTTTAGGGGGATAAATTCGCCCTTGCTCTCTGTTAATTTCCCGTGGCTTGATGTTCTCTTTGAATGTGACCATCGGTTTTTCTCCGGCATCACAGTTGTTCAGGCTTCTGCCAGAGGACAGAACTGACTTGAGTCCAGGGCTCCCATCTGTAGATAGTGGCTCTGCAACGCACGTTTCCTGCAAGGCGAGACTCTCTTTGGCTTCACTAGGGTCCTCTAGTAATAATTCTGGGATTTCCGTCAAAAACAACAGCTTTCCTACCTCATTTTCACACTGAATCAACCTGAAAAAGACAGAAAGGAACTGAAAAACAAGTAGGAATAGTTTTTCACAGGGTAACCCACTTCCCCAAATTATAAAAGCAGGAAGTCAGCCTATGCACTACGCATCTCTTCACCCCAGCAACAAGATGATGTTACATCACATCTCCCAGCTAAGGGCATTCTCTAGCATGACGTACACTCACATGCTAACACTCTTGTTACCACTTCAAATACTGTTTCTACTTTGCTGTGCTGCAGCATCACTAAAACGGACTCAAACATGATGCTTTACTCCCAATACATTCATTATCGTAATTTGTCTATGAAGCAATGGCATGCTGACCCACAGAACATGTTATCAGTGCTGTCAGCATCTTGCATTCACATTATAGCTAATTGCTGTGTCAAACAGTGAGAAAAATAAAGCTCAACTGTGGCACCTGCATTACCTAATCTTACAGCAGCAACTGAAATGCACAGATGCTACTTGCAATTACCTCGGCTGGTTGTCAGCAATCCATTTGCCTGTGAAAATCAGACGCTGTTGCCGTATCCGACGTTGTTGCCCTTCCTTATCTCCTGTAATTGCCTGGTGGCCTTTGGAAAAATCCAAGTTCCTAGTATTGACATAGGAGTGGGGATGATATTAATTAGACAGTTAGCCTCTGCAACAGCATATTCTTTAGAGACACAACTGGGTCAGCATTACTCTATTATAAGCTGTGAAATTTCACCAGATCCTATTCAACACATGACAGTTATGGACGTCTGATTTACAGATGCAATTCTTCTGCCAAGATACACCTACATTAAAGAGGTGCCTTTTTTTTGAACAAAAAGGCAAAAGCTCATCTGTGTAATAACCAAAAGTCACAAAAATAGTAGTTGAGTGAATGCATCTAATATTGTCAACATTTGTGCATGATGTCAGGTACAGGGACACAGTAAAAACCAGTATAAAAACCAGCACAGTAAAACCACATCAAACACTTTTCATGTAAAAGTATTCCTTTCCTCACTATTTAATTTCTTCTTTCAGTTTACAGAAGAAAACCAAAAAAGTCATAAGCAATATTATAAGCTTATTACTTTCCCCAGAGTTTTACTGAAGAAGACTCAAGTCCTGCACTGCCAGTTCTTCTGCAAAGATACCTACATCAATCCATACATTAGTAAGTACTCATAAATAAGATATTGTAGGGAACAGGTCAACGTCTATCAGCTTAGTGACATCAGCAAGAGCAGAGTTTCTTCAGCCGTCACCCACCTGAACGAGGGCCTCAGAGCCAAGAATCCCTGCAACTCAAATTCTTCTGGAAGGGGGGTTGCTGTTGAATAGATGGTAAACAGCATAAGGAAAGCATGCATGCATTAAGTACAGTATTTTAAGTAGATACCTCAGCAAGGTTGCTATACATAGTAAAGCAGTTTATTTACATGCTCAATTGTACCGATCCACCCTGCAATCTGAGGAGCTTGGGAATGATAAAGTAGAGCAAAGTCTACTCATCATGAGAAAGCAGTATTTGCAAAGTATTCGTATGCACTAATACTAGAAAACAACTTGTTCCCTATTTGCTCTTCAACTACAATTCCCCACAATGTCAGAAAAAACTCCACGCACCATTCTCAGTTCCTTATAGCACAGACAAGAAGCATCCTTACCATTATTATTGGATAGATCTTCTTCATGAGGCTGGAAGCTGTTTAGAAGAGAAATCAGCCAGGGCCATATGCTACAAATCAGAAAACAGACAAACTAAGTGAAAACTACAGAACATGGAATCTGTTCAGCTTACCAAGAAAACATCGAACTCTATCACACAGTCACAGCTTCCATTAATCCTCTGATTCCCAAGAAAAAGTAAAGTTTCTCAAGTGTCAGGGAAAAGACCACTTTTTTGGAAAAAGAAAAAAAAAAAGAGTATTTTTAAAAGCCAACCTAAAGTTAACAGGGAAGCCAGGTTCTCACAGCACAGTGTTCATTATCCAGCACGTCAGAAAGCCTGCTATGAATTTAACTAGACAAACCTATCACAGGAGCAAGTGTTCAGAGCTCCTGTTTGCAATTCATGTTTTCCAGTCCAAAGCTGACTGCTCTAAAGATGGTAGATTAATCAGTTGGGAAGCAAAATAATTTATCACAATACCACTGTGCAGAAGTATTTCTGCTCTGTGAACATTAACACCGTACTGTAGCACTGAAACAGTTACCAAGAAGGTCTAATGGTTGCACTGAGTAAGACCATTAAACTAGAGGTTACCTGGCAGTCTCCCTGCCTTGCACTGGCAATATCAGTACAAGCAACAACTGGAAATTCTTGACAAAGGCCCTGCAGCAATTAGTTTAAAAATCACAACGATCACTGCATACATAGGTGGTTAATATTTAACTGCCACCAACAGCCTGCTTTCTCTTATTTTTTAAAAGCTCCAACCCAAAAGTCTAAGCATCCTGCTTCTACTTCAGTGACAGGCACAAAGTCCTTGGAGGCAATAGGCAAACTATTTTAAAGCGTCCACTGTGCTTCATGTTAGTGAAATGAGTCTCCATCCTCCCTCAGCAAGGTTTTCAGCCGTCATCCAGCACCTGGATTGTGGAATGAAGTGTGCACCCAAAAGCCTGAGGTCAGCCACTTCCCTGCACCGCTGCAGGGACTGGAAACGTTATATTTATGCTTATACTCTACACTAAACTAAGCTCCTTCCCATGACTGACAAGGACCAGGAGGAAAAAAGGGAGAGTTCAAGCCTGTTGCTACCTACAGTAAACTGCAATTTTCCCATACAACACTTGAAATAATGAGATTTTATAACAAGAAATCTCTGAAGAGTGATGTAGTGCCACGTGTAAAAACCTAGACCTCATGTGGCTTCCACAGGGCAGGTTTGGAAAACTCATTTCCAAAGAACACACAGTAGTATTGATATAGTAATTTCTGTGCTCAGTTCTTGCCTTCAGATTCATCTACTTTCCTAGGTAAACACATTTCCTTCCTATTTCGAATGCTTGTTCCGTTTGGGGTAGGATTCATTATCCACAGAAAAATGATAAGCATAGAGTGGGAACAACTGATATTTTAAAAAGAAATAAGAATTACTTCTTGAACCAAGAGCACAATTAAGTATGAATTCAGAGTAAGGAAGATTTTTTCAATATAAAACAGACATCAGATTATTAAACAGAGGCAAATAAAGGTGTGTACGTGGATGTGTTTGTGTAGTCTGCAAAGAATGACTTTTATGAGGATCTTCCAATAGAAATAAAAAGAAAACTCTCATCTTACAAATAATGGGGAAGGTGGACAGTCATCTCAACTTTTTAGAGACAACAAATGTAATGGCTACTAATGTCAATTTTGACAAATCTTAGTGATACTTAGCTTTCTTTTCAAGTTCACCTGTGCAATTTACAGCTGTTTGCTGCCCACTTCACAACTCCTTTCTACGAGTACCTGAAAACCTCATGCTATCACACCACAGATTTAAAAATGAGGCATGTTCTTTAAAGAGAACCTGATAGCTTTATGGTCAAAAGGACCTACTGTGGCTAACTCAAAATATACATTCACACCTGAAGATTCATTTTGATACTCCATAAAGTACTGCCTCCATCTCCTCTCTGCAAGGACTACTTTATATCAAGTAGTATCTTCCCTATTAAAATACTGGTATAAAGTCTTCCTTCAGAACATGCATACAGAAATACTTATTACTGTCTCAAAACAACATGAACTCTTATTTTCCTTAATCTTGCCTTCAGGAACTCTGAAATTGAAGTTCTCAAAGCTACAGGGCTTTAAGTTTTGCACACATTTGAGCGAATCTTACTATTTATTTAGCAAACCCAGGTCATATGGACCCCTGCTTCCCACACATCAATGTACAGAAAATGGAAGCCTTCGCAGGAATATCATCTTACCGCACACACTACCAAGCGAGAGCTGAAACCACTGTGGCACATCACACAAGATCAGCTAAGCAAGCCGTTTTCACACTGTTTTCCTTATAGTGGCCATTCTTGGGAAAGTACTCAACCAACTATGTCAGTAACAGTCAGATGTTTTATTGAATTGGTATAATTCATGAAAAGTTAACAGGCTATGAAAAAGTTGGCGAGTTTTGAACTATTTAAGCCTAAATTTATGAGATTAGAGGGAGAAGTGAAAAATCAGAGCAACAGTCCAGAACAGTAATGCCTATGCCAACAGTTAAAGACCACCTCTACTAAATTCAATTTAATTCCTGGATGATAAGCCAGGAAAACTGGATTCCAGCACTGCCCAAGAGATGGCTTAATGTATGAAATTAAGGCAAATATTCTCCTGCCACCTGCCTCAACAGATCTGAGAAATCATTACAATAGACTAAGGTTACACTCAGTAGTTATGCTCAGGCCAGGCATTATACAGTAGATCCCTCTGATCTTAAAAGAAAAAAGTTACATGCAAACCTAAAGCACATTAAAACAGTGAATTTGCTCATATAGCCCACAAGTTTCACATTTTTTTTTATGAACTTTTTGTAGCACATAGGCTATCATTTTGATGTCTGTAGTAACAAGTTATATGATCACTTTTCCCATTACTAATTTGTGTATTGTCAGTTATTATTACTTCATGCAATTAAATGTATCAAGAGAAAGATTAACACTCACTACCGTCTTTCATCAACCACTGCCTCCTGGAAAACACTGGGCCTAAGTTTCAGCCAGTCCATTGAAACCTTCACAGCTGGGAGAGGATATGCAGCCCCAGAGTCCTCCTGGTAGTCATTTTGTAAAGGACACTTGCACAGAACTCCAAGAAAGGACACTAGAAACAGAGCAGGAAAAAAGCAAAACAAAACAATGCGAGAATGACACTTTAAATTTGACCAAAGAACCTAATCAAACAAATACAACCCATAAAACCTAATTTTTAAGAGCTAGTTCTTTAGAACAAAGCAGCACAATTATTTAATGTTAAAAAAAATCCACCAGCAGATCAGAACATCTTTTTTTCGATAGTTTTCTACCAGGTCGCAGAATCTTGGTGTGTTCCCCCCGCCCCCCCTCCCCCTTTAAGTGTAATGGCAAATCATTTTGGTAAGTTAACAGAATCCAGCGAGACAAGCCCATTACAAAAACATTAATTCATTTATTTATGAAAAAATTATCAACTCAACTATCTATCTACATTTTATCTACTTTCCCAAGTCAGCTGGCACAGGCATCCACTGCCGCTAGCTCTGCGGGCAGGCACCCAGCTCAGACCCATCAGGGCACAAAGCTGAAAAACAGTAACCACACCAGGGTAACCGTGTGCTTTCAGAATCAACTCCAAGCTGAGATCTGGAGAAATTCAGCTATTCAGAAATTTAGGTGTTTACAAACAAGGCCAAGCTGATCATGGGCCAGATGCAGAGTTCTGTAAGGCTTCAAACAGAGTAAGTCCAGGGCACATAAATCCAGCGTTAGTCAGCACTGCCAGACATAAACAATCCTGCACAACCATCTCCTCTCTTAACTTTCTCCCATAATGTCCCTTTTCTCATCACTTATCTCACATAACCATTAAACTAGATGATGGCAGCAAATTACTAATGGATTCCACATAAAAATTAAAAAGAAATTAAAAAAAGAAATTAGTTTTCAAACTTACTGAAGAGAGCCAGTAACTGTGTCCAGCAGAGCTGCTCATCCTGGCTGTAGCTGTGCTGCTCTGTTTCATTGCTGAAGTCTCGCAGGTGATGTAGTTGAAACAGATTGATAACAGTAATATGTACTAACTGTTGAGAATTGAAGGCCTTTTGGAATAACAACCTCTGCAACAAACACACGTAGAATTTTCATATGGTAAAACACACACTTGAAAGGATTAGTACTTGCTACTTCACTGCATGACTAATGCTTCTGCCCTTAAGGCAACATTCATTCTAGATTTTATTTTCAGGTCATCCCTATTAGCACAGCACTGGGCTTCCCAGGAGGACATGGGCAGATGCCCGCTGTTAAGCCCAAGGTTTTTGCTCATACAGCAACTCATACGCAAAACAAATCAACACTCCTTTGGATACGGTGCTCTTTGCGTCCAAGCGTGACTTGAATGTGCGATGACAGCGTTGCAACGCAACTACAAAAATTACAGAGATGAATATCCACTGTATTTTTAAGTCTTTCAAAGAAACAGCATGAAGAAGGTGACATTTTAAAAAAAATACCCCAGGAAAATTTAACTACTGTGTGGTTATGTATTAAAGACTAATTCCACATCTGACTTCATGGGTCATGGAATGCCATGATGGACTAAAATAGCACAAGCTATTTACAAACGCATTTCAGTAACTATGCTGTAAAAGACACCTTTCTCAGAAGAGGAAAAGAAACTTTAATGCTTTTTTTGCAGCGCTGTGAAAAAAGGAAATATCCTAAACCACAACCAACTTCTCTTCAGACAAAACAGTCAGGGAAGGCTAGTGAATTAACCAGCGTAAGCATCAGGAAAGGGTTTGAGCTTGATTTTTAGCTAAGGGCATACAGCACTCTACAGCCATCAACTCAGACTGGCAGAGCTGTCAACAGCAGAATCATTGGGCTGGCTGAACACTCCGAACCCTACGACTGCTCTCCTCATTCAGACACAGAATGAGACACACAGTTGAAGTGATTACCCACCATACAGCCAATTTCACATCCACGTTCAACCCATTTAGATCAGAAGAGTTGCTCTCTAGTAAATTAAGCCTTACGTTGTGTAAAATAAACCAAAAAAGTAATCTAAGTAACAAAGTGGGGCTCAATGAGCTCTCTTAAGACCTTGGATAAGCTCAGAAAAATAAGACTGTTCCACACGCCTGAGTAAGACTCATAATTATCGATTATAAGCATTGTGGAAAAAGCAGTACTTGTTCAACACCCAACATCACACACAAAAAGAGAGATACAATTATTTAATTTCAAAACAGTCTTCAAGCAGTTCACATTCAAAGCTAGTACAATTCCAACAAGTTTTGCCTTTTTAAAATTTATATTAAAGACAGTTTGGACCTAGTTGTAGTAGCCCAATTCAATGCAAAAAGACACTGTAAAGAACATTTGTAATTCTTTATATTGCTAAGACTACCTTCCCTTTTTTAATTTAGAAAAGCATTAACTGCTCTGTTGAACATATCCATACTACATTTTCCACAAAGATGCTGAAGCAGAGCAGTTCCCTAAAGGCACCTAACAGTTAATACGACGTCCTCTTTGAAATTTTACTACCTTGTATAAGTACCTTACAAAATTCTCTTTGTTTCAATCTTTGCTATATTGTCCAACTTAATGAGCCGACTACATAATTAACGGGTACTTCTGGATTTTCCAGAGGAAACATCTTCTGGATAGTTCTAGTCTACACACAAATTAAGGTTGCTCTGGAACACTGCTTTTAAAGGCAAACCACTGACAGGAGAGGCGAGTTGTCTGAGGAAGATTAAAAGCAGCCTTAATAACCAGCGGGAGTGAATCAACACCATCCAAAAATGAAGCTCTCAAAATTCCTCAGGCAACTGAGTCAAAACTTCCCAGAAGAATGAAGTGCTTTTCACAGGTATCCAAGAATCACCCAGGTTAAAGAGCAGAGAGTCAACTGCAGTCGTTGATTTCTCCTGTATCCCCACCAATAACACACCACGTGTCAAATGGGAAAAATCTCTACTATTTGCAGAAGTCAACAGAACTATCCAGTGTTAGCTGCAATGCAAACCTTCCGTAACTGACTACTTGAGCTTCCTGTATTTTAGCATGTGAAAAAGTTATTATTAGACTGTAATTTCAGAACTCAGCTGCTAAAAATACTCTCCTCAATACACTAATTAATATGGTGTTAGAACTAACCTTGAACTGTTCTTCCAGCTTTTCTCGAAGAGGGCTCAGCTTCTCCAAGCTCTTACTCAGGTACACATGGCCATGGAATTTAATAAATGCCTTGATGAAGTCAGACACGCTCCATCGAGTCTTCACCTCATCACGACTACATTCAGAACAGAAATACCAGTCTTCAGTCTTTGGAATTAGACACAGCTGCACATAACATTACATACTTTTTTCTGTGAAGTTCAAGAAAGGAGGAATGTCCATGCAAAGCTACTTTTTCACATGGGCACAATACGCTTATTTCCTGCATTCACTATTCACACTCAGGAGCATCCCAGACACAAACTATTCTTTGTTCCATACTTGTGTAAGGATGCTCTGACTGGACAGAGGTCGAGGATCTTCTGTTTCCACTATCAAATACGAGTAACTTTTGGCAAGGAAGATACACTTGGAAGAAGTCTCCTCTTACTTCAGCATAAATACATCATGCTTTGTCTTACCTTTCCAGTGCTTTAGAAAGTGCTTTTTGTAAGTTAGTGGAGGCAGCTGGGAAAGGAAACTTCACAGCAATGCTTCTGCAGTAGTAGAAAATTGTGGTCAAGTGGTCTCCTTTGGAGGAAGCTAGAATAGCCAACTGATTATAAGGCTGACCTAAGGGAGAAAAAGACAAGTTGTCATAGACTGAAGCGTGCTGTATTTCAGCCTAAGTATGAAATCCCAAGTTTCCAACTGCCACACAAGAAAAGCAATACCCCAAATCTTATTTTGGAATTACGAAGCTAAAAGGTATCCCAGACTCACCATTAGAAGGGACAAGCTGAGCTGCATGTCTGTAGTAAGACTCTGCCTGGCTGGTCTGATTCCTATAGCGAGCTACGAAAACAACAAAAACACTCAAGCTGAGGCAAAAAAAAACAACCCAACTCTCCTGCACTTACTTTAATACAATGCAGTTTACCTGAAGAGCGTTTTACTATTTTTTTAGAAACATACATCAGAACATACCATTATGCTAAGCAGCACAAAGATTCAAAACATTGAATTTTAAGGTGGTTGTTTTAACTCAGATCCTATTATCACAGCTTACCAGTTCTTATTTAGAAGGATGTTGTGCCAAGAACATCACATCCAGACACCTAGAAATGTTTTTCATACTTCTTTGTGCAATCAGCAACTAGATCTACTTTTAGGTTGTTAGAAAAGCAATTGCAGATTCTTGTGAAAAAAGAACTTTCTGCAACACACAGTTCTACTCTAATCAATAAAGAAACAAACCTGTTGAACTTAATGTAAAAAAGAAACCTTGTTTACGAATGGCTGGACTTCTGTTGTCTTTGTGTACAGGATTCTAAAGTAATGTTCGGAAATGGAGAAGTATGCTGGCCTGCTGCAACAAGCTTTTGTAATAGTTACCAGTTTCAACATTTCACTATGCCTACCAGCTATAACATGATTAGCATGCTAGAAGACACATTCTAGCAAATCACTAGAAAGCTAGTGATTAACTGTCTCCATGCGTTAATGTGTAATACACGTATAAAAGTCTGACACCATTGCTTTCCAGACCTTTCCCCCTGCAACAACCACCAAACATACAATCAGCTCCTACCTACTAATTTGGAACACACTTGGCCTAGTAGTTGCCCAGGGTATGTACAGATCCCTCTTCGTGAAGGCAGAACGCAGGGAGGACTCGAATGTCCCACCTCTTTTACCTTCAGGAACTCACCAATATCTCCAAGGTGGACAAGGCAGTGCTGGCAGATGTAAGAGCAGGAGCTAGATTGCGGCTTCACTATGGCGCTGGTGTGCGTCTGTTTATTGCTAATGATTCCCAGCTGGGAAGACTTTACACGACACGGCAAGTCTACATTAAAAACTGTGCACAATTCCTGTAATAACTAGAAAAACAGGTCTAGTTTAGTAGCAGATAAAGATAATAATCAGAAAAGTAGTGAAACAACAGTGTCCTGAGCACCACTCAGAGGAACGGATTAGGTAAACATATTGGAAGTGAACAAGCCTAGTTTACTGAAAGTGATGCTTTATGTTACATTCTCCATATGCAAGTCACTGAGCTCCACACTGCATTATTCTGCCCAGAACCACAAAAAGAAGTTTTACTTCTCTTCAGTAAGAAAGAGCTGTGCATCCCAAACCAGTAAGCAACTCAACTGTCACGATACTTAAGTTACCAAGTATGCATCAGTGGATATTGACTATCAGAGGTCTAAAAATCTTGCCTTTTTTTTTTTTTTAAACAGGACACTCTTAAGAGGAACACAGTCTTTTGTCTTTTTATACCTAGATGAAATGACACCATTCTCTGAAAACAAGAGAACAGAATGCCACTCCTCTGAAGAAGCAGCTTGTTCCAATATAAGAAACAGCACTGCCCTGACAAAACCAAGTTTGTAGGCAACTCAAGGCAATACTGGCTAACAGTTCAGTGGCTGAGTTGTCAGTAAATATTTGTGCTAAGCTAACAGTGAGACTCTTTCAAAGAACAAGGCATCAGCTGCTTGATCAAATATCTTGAAAGCTGATCCAAGGAAAACCTGAACTTTGCCATTCTAATCAGTGCTTTTGAAGTTTTCCCTAATAGAGTCCAGGAAATACTCTGGGAAGTAATAGTCACCAGGTAGCGATGAAAACTATTCTACTGTGTAACAGAGTTAAAAATGCAAGTAAGAATTGACAGACTTTCTCCCAGCTGGGAACACACTCAGGCTCCAAATAAAACAGACCTGCAGCAGGGTTCCACTTCCAGATAAAGGCGTATAGAAAGCCCAGGGCTGACAGAGCTACGCACTCTGTCAACAGCTAAACACACGAGGTACTGCTTTTGCTTGCTGCAGAAAAAGGTTTGTGTTACACCTTCCTCCCCTTTTGCTCTGTCTTTTATAGAGTAGATAAAAATCCCCAAGCAAGAGGAATCTCACAGATGAAAGCCGGATAAAAGTGAGAAACTTGACATCTTCCAACACGCTGAATTAGGAGAAATCATGCTCTCTTTCAAAGATGTCATTTACACAGGCCTCGCAGTTGGAGAGCAGGTATCTTGCCTGAGCAAAATCTTTAGACTAAAAATGGGACAATTAGCGTCACAGCAAACAGAGAAAGACGACCCAGTCTGTGGTGTCATACACAAAAGCAGCAAAATTCCCTGATATACCACAGTGAAGAACAAGGCTTTTGCAAGACAAACTGTATAGGTTGTAGAAAAGCTTTGGCAACAACACCACAGCCCATCAAACTGGTGATTTCAAATAAGAAACTTGCGGGGAAAAAAATGCGCAAGGGAAAAAATAAAATCACAGAGATGCTGGAAAAAAAACTGGGCTTGCCTTGTAGATATTCAGAATCAAACTTGGAACTGATACAGTAAGAATGCCCTACTGTGTGTGTTGTAACCTGAAGCTGGTGCAAACTAGCTGATAGCTTTGTCAGACCACTACTTGAGATAGCTGATTCAGCAGTGACAACGTCATCGCTGCAGCACACACCAAACGAGGGGGAAAAAAGGAAAGAAAGGCAAGTTAACTTTCTTAAGGCCATTATCACACACCAGCTCTTATTCTCCATAATCTACAAACTGAAATCTAACATTGCAAAGAGAGTATGGGCAAAAAAATGGCAGTAAGGAACAAATACATGAACAGGAATTGCACCCCTTTTGCAATTAACTGAAAATTTCACAAAAGATACTTAGCTAAAGAGAAAAGCTCCTGTAACTGAAGTTAGCAATTCTAAATAATTGTTGACACAAATATTGAACTAAGACTGAAGATGTACTTGTAAGCCTGGGAGTCTTGATTAAAAAAAACACAGCAAAACATTATATGTTGTAAATGCTACATAATAGTCTCGGGCACAACCACCTTACTTAAACGCACAAATGTGGTGGGCACTGAATTAGGTATTATTCAGAAAAAAGCTGTATTCAAACATGTATGCAGCATGTACATAGACAGTTACTGGAAACCATTAACTCAGTATTCACCATTGGTGTTAGAAGTTACAAGGAAAGGACACAGAACATCACACACATCCTCAGTGCATCTGCATTTTGGAATTTTGCACGTATTTCTGTTCCGGAATAACCGGAGCCAAGAACAAAACTGATTATTTTTGCTTATCCTTTGTCATATAGGGGAAGTCTCACGTTTTTCAAAATGAAAAGGATATATTACAATGGCCCACAACTTCATGCATAGTAATGAGAAGGTGAATGAGAATTTTTAGAGAAACTAAAAAAGCAGGAAAAAAGAATTAAGAGTACAATGAAATCATCAGTTAACATGTTGGTTGGGCTTGAGGTTTTTGCTGATGTTTCTCTTAAACATTACAATTAAAATACAGAATTCTGCACCACAGATCACTGCAGAGACCAGAGTTAATGGCTTCAAGAGGGATTGGATAGTCAATGAAGGCTGGACCTCCTCATACCTAGATGATTCAGACACAAACTACTTCAAGAAGGCAAAAATTGCACAGCTAAAAGCAAGAGACTAGAGCAAGGAAGTATCATTCTACATTTTCCTGATGCTCAATGCTTACTCTGAGCAGTCACAGCAGACTACTGTAAGACAAAACATGGTGCTAAGTGGACCTTTGATCATACCCTAAGCAGTGGGTTTCAGGCTTTAAAGCAGACTCTATTAGAAGGGAACTTAAATTGTTGCCATATTTTTATGGAGCACCAAAATAACTACCAGATGTGCAGAAGCTTCAGATCAACTCAAGGCTGTGGCTGATCAAGAGAGAGCGCATCACCAGCTTTGTAGACCCGTTCTACTGAGAGCACCGGTGTTTGTACACTGTTTGATCCAGAACAACAATAGTTTCCTACACTAAGGGAAAAGAACAGATTTTACCCACCTAAAACTGGTCCTCCTGCCCTTCCTCAAAGACACTAATAATAGTTCTTCATGCTGGTATGACATCAGAGCTCATCTCTCATGAGCAGCTGCTGGAGCAGCACAAGAGATCTGACAGCCAAAGCTTTGTACAGGACCCACACCCAAGCAGCATAAGGCTCAAGTACACTTGCATCCAGAGTATGTAAATACACCACAGCCAACACATTTTTTGCAACTCACCTGTGTGTAGAAGCCACTAGCTGCCTCTAAGAACAGAGAAAGGTTCGCCTGAACTTCGCTCCGATTTGGATTTGCTCTATTTTTCGCCTGACCCTGTAGCGTCGTGATCTGATTTTTAAAGGCATGATTCCAACTGAAAACAAAATAAGTGTTTTCCTTTTTTTACTTTGGAAGTGTCAATGCAGATAGCATAAGCAACAGGAAAGGACTGTTTCATTACATAGCCACAGACATGAAAATGAAGTATATTTATATTCAGGCAACACTCAGACTACAAATAACGTTACATACGGAAGAATTACCTTCTCCCACCTCTTATAATTACAGAAACCAATCCTGATACTATAAAACTAACACTGTAACAGCATTAATATTTGCTTGTAATTGTTTTGTTTTAGGCAGCATAGTGGTCTCTTCTGAAAACAGGATGCGGGGTATAGAAATTTCAGTTAAAAATCATTCAGTGTCTGGAGGCATGGACAGAACATCTCAGCCAGCCTACTCATCTTGCTTCCCTCAGAGTGCCGAAAGAACCACATGCTTCACTTAACTAAACCTGTTACAACCCATGTCTGCCTCTTAAATAACAGGGATGGACTCAGGGCATGAAGAAAACCCAGCAGGATCTTCCCCTGATGCTGGGGTGCTCATGGCACATTAAGAAAAGTTCTCTCCTGATATTCCTCCCTCTGCCCAGCCCCACCTCAGAGGGCCTCAAGTGAGGGTCTTTGGCAGCTACTCAACTCCTGTCAGACCTTGCTCAAAGCTCCAGGTGATTATACATTAGGCAAATTTCCTCCTTTCTGGAAACTCTGAAGTCCAGCCCCTCCACCACAGCATAGAAGACTCTCTTCCCCTCCATGTTGCTCACCAAACCCCACTCCTGCATGACATGGCTACTGCTAATTCCCAGAGGTAAAATACTAACCAATTGAATACTCTTCATTGACTGCAGTGCATTCTCATGTTTCATGTTTCTCATTTTAAAGGAAATAAGACAACCATTTTGTAGGATACAATTGCTTTTCTTGAATTCTCAGGGTTTCCTGCTCATTAGCCCAAATTACACATATACATACAAATTTATTGAGGTACTTACAGGTCCTGCTCCACTTTTTTATCTAAAGCGTATTCCAAATCGGTCACTAGCATTTTCTGATATAAGTCCTGTAGAGCCTGTCTGGACGTCCAGACTTCTGCTGGACCCAGCTTCGAATCTGGATAACAGAAAGGAAAAAAAAAAAAAAAAAAAAAGACACAACAGTTTTTGTAACATTCAAACTTACGGAGTTACTCCAACTGATTTTTCACTTGCCTACCAAAGGAAAGAACATAGCACAGTGTAGGATATCCAATGCCAAACACCAACCTTTATCACAAATTCATCAGAACGGTGAAATACAAGAACTACAGAGGGACTGGAGATTAACTGATCACTGATTAACTGATCAGTCTCCTACAACACCAGAACTAGACGCAACCAAAGTCAGCAGCTGGCAAGTTAAAAAAAAAAACAACAAACCAAACAAAACAGACAGAAGGAGGTGATTCTCTATAAGTCACTGCAGAACTTCTTGCCACTGCATGAAATTAGAAAACTTTCAGGAGTAGCCTGAAAACATTAACAGAAAAGAAATCCATCAAGGGATGCTAAATAGGACAGTCCCTGGAGCCAACGTTGTTGGTCTTTAGAACACCACTGTGGGCTAGTACTACTGCACGCTTGCCATTTTTAAACTCTTTGGTAGCCACCTGCTTTCCATTACTAAGGGTGAATGCAAACACTTCTCCCTGCTACCTCAAGTTACAGAGTCCAATTTCCCATGCCTTGTAAAATCACCTGAGCTGTGCAGGAGCATAAGGGATGGGCCTCACCCCTGGGAAACCATTCTGCTGATGGTGTAACCACTCCTGCTGGGTCAGATAGATCCAGGCAGTTATAATGTCCCTACAGGGACTACACCAACCTGCTATATGTACTACACCAAGCTGAGCATAGGTTGATTATGCAAGCTGCTTGTACTGCATGGCTGATACATTAACATAAACCATTTCCATTAATACATACAGCTTAAAACATCGCTTGTAGCATTTTATAGCATCTACAGGATGCAATTTCATAACACATGTTGTAACATTCACATCAATGTTTCCATCACCCAGGTTTCTCAAAACCATCCAGATCCTTGCTAATCCCAAGTAAAGCAGTTCCTGTGGTATTCTGGACAGGAGTCTTTCTCATCCCCAAAAGAGAACACAATGGGAGAGGAGCAGGGGCATTTCCAAACGCTTTATAACAACCAAATTCAACTTTAAAAATACATGTATCTTTAGACACAGGAGAGAGGGGCACAGTTGTTAAAATGCTATTTATTTTCATATAGAGGACAAACCTTTAACATAACATCACACACTTTCCAGATAATTCTTAGAAACATAAGCATAAAGAACACAGAAGGAAAACAAAAAAAGGAATAAAGTATTAGCGACTAGATCAACTGTATAATAAAGGCAATTACCTGTCATGTCAGCCTTCAGGACTTCTGCCTGCCTGTAAGAAAGCAATAGAACAATAAATTAGAAACAGACTGATCAAAATAATTGAATTATGCCAAAGCACATTCATGTAACAGTGAGAAAGTAGGGCCAGCTCCATACAGGCTACCTACAACCTACACTGCTATAGTCTACCCCACACAGTATGGATTTGAGCTACTGTTGTTTAACAGTATGATTACTTCTGATTTATACCACCATAAAAGTCAACTGTTTACTTTTCCTTGCTTAGCTTAAGTCTATTTCAGAAAATTGCAAACTAAAAAATGCTTACACTATATTACGCTTTACCTGGCAGCAGTGTCCTGCCAACATTAGTGATACCTGCTTACCTGTAACTGGGAAATTGATATTAAAATCAAGTTGTCTCAAGTGAAATGCAGTAGCCAACAGAGTCAGAGCAAAGCAAACTCCCAAACTGCCTGTCAGCACGTTGCTATAGCCCTCCTGCCCCTCCGTGCTGCACTAGCTTTCCTTAAGCAGATGCAATAAAAAGACTATGGCTTCTGCAATTACCTCTCTTCCTTGAACTGTCTCCCTAAAGTCACGAAAACGTTTTCAAGAAAAAAAAAAAAATAAAATAAAATACAGAATGAATGGCCACTCCAGGTGACCACTCCTTTGCTGAACATCCTCTGCATATCCCCACTGCTGGTGGAGGCTGGCAAATAGTTTCTTAGAGGAACACGGAGACTTAGTCCTCAACAAATAAATATTTGCGAACAGCCATCAATAGCTGGACGGAACAAGCAGTTGAGATGCTATGGTTAAGCACTGTGTCAGCAGTTCATAAAACTTCAAGGGGCAGTGCTGCTGGCCTGCCTGACTGACACAGAATTAACACAGAGCGGGCAGATGCAGAAGGGATACAACGCTGCCTGGGTGGCTGGGTTTTGGTGGAATATGTTCCTTTGGTTTTGCTACACTCAAGCGTTTACATATATTTGCAAAGAGTGCAAGCTTTCCATACCAGACATGGAATCCTCCTAGGATATGAAATACCCACTTCCACCTGCCTCTCTCAGCCAAAAAACTAGATGGAACTAGTGACTAACATCAAAGTTGTATGCCAGCTTAGGAAAGAATGGAGAACCAAGAGAAAGCACCACCTAATCACCAAAGAGGCTTCAGAAGCAAGCATGTATTCTCTTTTCCCAAAGTGAAGTTGCAGTGACTGTAAAAATAGTTTTTCAGGTTGTTCTGGGTTCTACCTACTGGCCACAAATTATAGGGAAGGTTTTGAGATCCACATCAGGATTAAAAAGATATCATAATAGTGCTGTTTCACTAGGAAGATGTATATTGGTGAGTCTCTTCACAAATTGTCTATTTATTAAATTCAAGAATTATCTTGAATAACACCTCACCACAGTCACCAGTGTACCACCCAAGAAGTAATAGGATGCTCCAAGGGCTTTAATTAAGTTAAGAATATATTAACTGGTGTCAGAAGTAAATCTGCACTTTCATCACCTGCTTCACAAATTTAATCTATTTAAGGTAACTTTTTTTTTGTTTACTTCTTTCAAGAAGGCATTAATACATTTTTTTCTACTCCTAACAGCAGGGAACATTGGAAGAGATAACCTATTATTACTGACAAACAAGGAACATTTTAGACATTGTGTCATGAGAAAGCTGAAAGCCCAAGAAACATTTCTGCATTGTCCACATGGAAGTAACAAAAGATGCCCCAGCGATGCTCTCCCCACCACTCCAGCTAGCAGGATGGCAAAGAGCAGATCTTCTCCTCCACGCAGCTAAGAAGAGCTGACAAAGGATAGCAATCTCCACTGCGTGCTGCGCCTCGGGAGCCTCTGCGTTGCTGACCTGCAAGTCTAGTCAAGCACGAAGCTGAGCCGATTCTGCGATGCTATGACTTGGCAGCTAGAAACGCCACTGCTCAGAAGGAAAAGCTGACTTGCTCAGGTGCTGAAGTCTCTCTTTTTTGAACAGCCAGCTCCCACTTTAAACACATGCCAGTTGTGCAAACTTTTTCTTTAAGCTGAGAACATGATTTGTGTTACCAAAGCCACAAATCCTACCAAGAGGCTCAGCCCGATCAGGACACGCAGTACTGCTCCAGCAAACACAAGCCCAAAATTCTCCTCCAGGCAAAAAGGCTCTGCCCTTTAAAAGCCAAGAACCACTCCTCTGAAAATCACTTGTGCAAAACTAACTTCCTCCATGTTAAGTACTAGTCGTTAAAGGGGGAAATACAAATAGCACCACTCTAAGGGCTTTCTTTTCATAACGTTTTGACTAGCTGTTGCCTGAAGAATTTAGATGAAGAGCGCAGCAACCCCTACACCGGTGCAACTGCTGACAGATGCACAGCCCTAAAAATATGGCTGGACCTGAATTTTTACCAAAAAGATATATTTATTTTTTTTTTTAGAATACCTTTTTTGGAAGACAATACTTATGGGCTTACAGAACGAGAGCCTTAGTGCCAATCTCTTCACTAGCTGTAAAGCAAACTGCCTTTTATATTTTATAAGCTCGCAACAAGCTACACTAAGGGGATTATCAGTATATTTTTTAATAAAATGTATAGAACTTATTTCAATACTTCCTAGAGGCCAAAGGAATTAGTAAAGTAGGTCTAACATTAGCATGCTCTGTTTCTCATTTCCACCTAAAACCAAGTTTTATTTAAAACAGCTGCATCTACTGTGGCTAAGCCAGGATAAGAGAGGGCAGCCTGGGTACCAAACTTGTTCTGCATCAGTGGCAAAATATTAGCATCTTGAGAGAAAGGATGCATTGCCTGTTCCTTTAACAGGCTTTACTGAAGAGCTTTGCTGGTGCTCAGAGACTCCTAGTGGGCACAAATCAGAGTTCACTGATAATCACAAGAGTTTCTGCCAGTGCAAATGGCTCCTTATATTGTAAAGCATCTTTTACAGCATCCATATATTTTCTTGCACCACCTCACGTTGCCTGCCAGCAAACTTGGTACAACTTGCTTACGCATTTTATCATTTGAAGAATATTCTCAAGTACCTCCTTGCCCAGTTTGACTCACCAGTATAGTCTTCAAGTCAAGCTTCCCCAAGTTTGTTGGCGAGAAGCCAAATAAGCACAAACCATAACTCAAAAATTTCCATTAGATGATATATCACCTTGATATATCTCGATAGCTACTCTCTATAATTTTCTAACTAAATATAAGTTCAGCCCCTTGCTTTCATTGAACTTGAAACTTAAATACAAAAGCCTTCCACTCAATTCAGTAGAATAGTTTGACAGCTAAAGGCATTTTCATTTTATTTAAATACTTGAAAAGCTTCAAAACTTTAAAACACAGTAATCAGGACTTTCTTTTGAAGTTCTTAAGTTTTAATATATGTTATACCTTCAGTATCCACAGATGGCAAGGGAAACTTTTCTTCTCTTAAGAACTTGGTAGTACGTAAAATCCTGTTTTGCTGTAACTCAGGGGTACTCAAGACACTACTATCCTGGAATGAACCACCAGATTTAGCAAAGGAAGACAAGACAGACACATTTTGTTTTTCCATTTTCAAGTGTTTACCATTCTTGATCAATTACATTTTCCCTAAGCAGAAAAAGAAAACAAGCTGTTCCCCTTAACCTGGTAAACACCACAAAGGAAACCCTGCAAATATAGGCACGCCTCTCCTATACACACTTTCAAGTGTTTAAACCATCACATTGAGATATCGGAAGGTACATCAAAAGATCATGTGGTCCCACTTACACTTTTACACTAGGACAAGTTTGCTTAATTTGCTCTAAAGATCCTAAAAGAAAAGATCATACAACCTCCCTGGTTAACTATTCTATTGTTCAGTGATAGCCCAAAAGATTTTTTCTGAAATACCAACCTAAAACCCCTCTGCTACAAACCAAGTCCTCCCCACAGCACACCCAGCTGCCATGGGGAGCCTTTGTACAACAGCCACTTGGAAAACCAGAGACTTAAATGCATACTCTGAATCATCAGTTCTCTCTTGTAGGCTAAAATGTCGACTTTCATAAGTTAAGTTTTCTAATCCTCTTATTGCCACCTGACTTCAAATTCCATTCATGTATCACTAAACAAATGGATCTATCTTACTATTGCCCCCAAAACAGCTCATCTGTTTCAATATGTATTCTTCAGTTCTGTTATAATTCAAACCACGCTTAATAATAAATTTTCAGTTCTGCATACACCACGCTGCATCTGTAAGAGGGCAATACAAGTTCTACAGATGCACAACTTTGCTAACAACTTTGTTATCAAGCACAAAAAAAGCAAGTAAAATTAAGCCCAAGTTTTCAACAGCAGTCTTGTGTTACCCAGCTAACACCTGCTATGTCTGAAAGTCCAACACACCCCACTCCTCATTTACACAGCAAGGATGAGCCAGGCATGATCTGCTATGGCATGACAAGTTCTACAAAAAGCGTGGAAAAACCTCAACCTCACAAAAAAACCACCACTGAATGCAACATTCTGCTTTCCACCATGTCTAAAGGGGAACTCCACTCGGTTTTCCCCTGGCAGCCCTGAAGCATCAGCAGCTGTATCAGTTCCCTCATCCAATCTCAGTAACACAAAGCCCCTGATAAGGAATTGAGGATTTGCAGTACTAAAACGGGTAATGAGTCCAGGCAGCTGGGCTTATAAAAGCAAACAGAATCCAATCACTTGTTCTGTGAATACAAACTAAAAACCATATTAAATGGTCACGGTAGTTTCACTCCAAACAGGAATTTCTATTCCTGCACTTCTCTTCCCTGGAGGTACGTGCAGAAATTGTACCACAATGAAAAGTGCCCGTAGCCTGGCAAGCCTTAGCTGGAGGTGATTAATCAGAAGGCTCATGAAGGGCAGTGCCAGAAAGTTTTCCTTCTTCTGAAAGGGAATAAAAAGATATAGAACATATACAGAATAAACATAGGAAACCTTTTGTTTTGGGTAGGGAAGGTAAATTTTCTATGCTAGTATACTAAAATGA